GGGCGGGGCTCCCCCCACCGTTCACCTCCGCCTCGCTCCGGGAGAGTCGCCAGGGGTCCCGAAGGGTTAAGAGTGTTCCTGGGGTCCCCGAAGTCAGAATACCTGGCCTAAGTCCCACAGCCCTTCTTCCCACCCCAGGCTCACCAGAGAGGGGACACTAGCAGCCCACCGTGTCCCCGCATTGGAACCGGGCGTCCCTGACTTGGCGGGAAGTCCCCGTCTGTGTTCGGCCGCCCTCGGACATCTGAGAAAATACCCCTCCCCAGGGAGATGGAGGAGGGGCGCTTCTCGCTCTTGGGCTTGGAGAAGCCGAAGGCTGACGAAGAACCCGACGGGGCCAAAGAGGTGAAGCTCTGCGCAGTCCTCTGGCCTCGGAGCCCACCCCTAGCGCGTCCCTGTCAGCGGGGTAACATGACCCCACAGCAAGCTGAGGCCAGCGAGGGGCAGCCTGGACCGGGTCCCGCGTCCCTCTCTGCGCACTGGCCGCTCTGCGGGATCCAGGGCGCGCCCAGACGCCAAGGGCACGGTGCGCCCGCTCCCGCGCCAGGTGACATCCCGGCCTCCTGGCTCCCGCCGCGCTCCCTCCCCTCGGCCCTGCTCGGGGTTCGCAGCCAAGCCCCGTCCCCTGCTCCCGGTTCCGGCGAGGAATCTCCAGCCGCCGAGGGGTTTCCCGAATCTACTTTATGCACGTCCCCTTCCCCTCCGCCCAGCCTGGCCGTGTGACCTTGGGCAAGTAGCTGCTGGCCTTGGACCCTCTACTCTTCGCCCAATTTTAGGGACTGCAGAAGGAGAGCCTAGTCACCTACCGCCGTTCCCGGGCTCCTGCATGCTGCTGGTGGCCTCTCCCTCCCGCCAGCTCTGGGGCTGCGGGAGACTGGGGCGCGGTAGGCTGGGCACCCCACCTCCCTCCCTGCACAGGTCTTTCCCCCTTTCACTTTCTCTTTGCACCACGGGGCTTAGACCAAGGGCTTAGACCAAACCGCCGCCGCTGCCTCCCCTGCGGCGCCCACGTGCTTTAGGAGAAGCATCCTCAGGACACTCCGACTTGCAGTCCCCCAGGTCCTGCCTCCAGCCAGCTCCTGGAAATGACCAGCCCCTGCTGGGGAGAGGGCCTGGGTCTCAGGTGGGGAGCCAGGTGATCTGCAAGCCCCGGGCATGCAGGGAGCCCATCCCCACCTCTGGTCGACTCTGTTTCTCTCCAGCTCAGCCCAACCATGACGGTGGCAAACCACCCTTCAGTCCGGCACACCCAAGACCCACTGCAGGGAGGGCTCACTCCTCCTGCCCCATGCCCTTGGGACGAAGAACCCAGCCTTGGACTTTCACTGTGCGGAAACCTGGCTCTGGCAACCCTGTGCCCAGCGGCGAAAGTCCCGTCCTCCTCCACAGGGCTTGGACTCCTGCTCTGCCCGGCATGAGACCTGGGGGGAACCACTTCCCCTCCCCAGGCTGCCGGTTCCCCATCTGGAATTGAGGGAGTGGGTCAAGATGACCTTCAGTGGCTTCTGACAGAACTGGGAAGCTTGTCCCCGATCTCTGGGTTCAGAGCAAACCATATGTCTTAGGGGAGCCTGAGAAAAGGGGTCCCACCCCTCTTAACCCACATCAGCCAGGCCCATTCTGTCACACTCATCTTATGGTATAAGCTACTGGGCACCGGGCGAGACCCCCGGATCCCTTTCCACCACCCCATCCTCTGGGCTGTCCCCTTAGCCCACCTCCGAGGTGAGGAAAACTGAGACTCAGTTTAGCAGCCAGTTCAAGTTCACACCCCACCAGCCGACAGCACAGCTAGGTGTCACGCCCCTGTGAGGCTCAGGGCTGTGCCAGGTCTCTGCTGTCTCTTCTCACCCGCTGTCCCCTGTCCCCCACTTCTGAAAGCCGCCATTTGGAAACGGGGGACAGGGCAGCAGCTGTCCCAGGTGCCCGGGGCTCTACAGCTGGCCACTGCCACTGCTGTGGTGACTAGCTGACTGCAGAGTTGCTTTTCCTGCTTCCCTAGGGACGGGCGGAGTCAGCAGAGGTCTCCTGTTTACCTGAAGACAGGCCTGGCAGTGAGAGGACCTTGGGGTGGCCTTGGCCAGCCAGGTCAGCAGGACTGAGAGCCAAGGACACACCTCAGGAAGGACGTGGGTACTGTCCTCTTCCCTCCTGCCAACAGGCTGCTCGGCGGGACACGGAGCCCCCCTCTCACCCCCAGCCCACAGTTCAGAGCGGCATCTCCGCGCACCTGGGGCCTGGGATGGAAGACCCAGCTGAGACTCTGTCCTAAATCAAGATGCATCCTCCACCCCCTTCCCTTTACCTTGGGACTCCGGCAGGTGGGACCCTACAAGGTGCGGAGCCAGGCGACGCATGGCGTGAGAAGCAGAGCCAGGAGGCCGGCAGAACTTCCCGGGGCCTCAGTCCTCCCAGGGATGTCCCGGGATGTGCACATCGGAAGCTGGCAGGCTCATCTCCAGCCTGTCACCCGCCGCACAGCTGGGAGCCTGGAGCCCAGAGCCCGCCAACCCTAACCCATAGCATGCAAAGGAAGCAAGCAAGGGACCAGCAGAAACTCTTCCCCTGCAAGGTCGTCCCAAGCTGTCAGATTTCCTGTGTCTGGATGCCCTCGAATTTGCCCACGCTCCCTTACGCCCACCCCAGGCCTCTGATGTTAATTTCAGTTCCTTCTTGGACCCTGGGGTGACCACAGAAGGTTGCAAGTTGTCTGTCAGGACCTCGAATGCTCTGACGTTCTGGGGCGCCTCTCACAAAGCGCCCCACGGGTCCCCTGTCTGCCATCTTCTGCAGGGTGGGGCCAGAGGAGGCAGCAGGACCAGCCCAGAGCTTCTGTCCAGCTGACGTCTGGACCCCTGTCAACCCAGGTGGCCCCGGGTTTCCCTGGAGGTCAGTAGCAGTCCACCCACCTGTTTTGTATACTAGACACTGGACTAAAACACTGATTGCACACAAAAGGATGCTAACCCCAATATGGCTGGCTCGGGCCACCGGCTGGGGCGGCACCGACGGGTGCCAGATCAGAGAGCACCTCTTCAAGGCTCTGCCCTCCTCCTGATGCATAAGGAGAAAGCCTCAGTCGGGGCTAATGTGTTCCTAGCACCTCTTCTAACGCAGGGTTCCCGCTTTCCACAGAGCCAAACCTCCAGCCTCCACTCTGGAGGCAGAGGCAGGAGGATCGCAAGTTCAAGGCCAGCCTCAGCAACTTAGCAAAGACCCATCTCAAAATACAAAATTTAAAAAGGGCTGAGGATGTAGTGCACCCCTGGGTTCCATCGCTAGTCTGAGAGAAAAAGAGAGGCGAGGAAGGAAATGAGTGAAAACGCGAGTGGTTTGAGAAAGCACCGTCCAGTAAATACAACAGTGTAGGAGGCTGGCAGAAAGGGACTCGCTGTGAGGCCAGGACCGGAATGAATGAAGGCTGGGAGCCGGGGACTTACTGGCTGGTGCCTCGTTACCGAAAGAGCTCTGCTACTAGCACGTGTGAGACACTCCTGGCTTCCCTTCTGAGCTCTGGCTTTCCCGCAGGGGACGTGAGGGTCATGCCTGCCTTGGTGTGGTGTCATTTTGAAGCAGTCCCTGCTCTCAGAAGTCCCGGAGGGGTGGGGAGAGTCAACTTGAAACAGAGCCTTTGCTTGGCTAAAAGAGCAGCGCAGCCTGCAACCCCGGCGCCTCAGGAGGCTGAGGCAGGAGGATCGCAAGTTCAAGGCCAGCCTCATCAACCTGGTGAGGCCCTAAGTGACTTAGCAAGACCCTGTTTCAAAATCAGAATAAATAAATAACAGGGGCTGGTGGAGCACTCGCCTGGCACGTGTGAGGCGCAGCGACGGATCCTCAGCGCCACGTAAAAGAATAAGTAAAAGGAAGGTGTTGTGTCCAACTACAGCTGAGAAGACATCTTTTTTTAGAAGGGGCCGAGCATGTGGCCCAGTGGTTAAGCCTCCTTGGTACCAAAACCCCCAGCCCCAGATACAGGGAAAGCAGAAATTCTAAGAGGTCTACCCATCTCCTTCCAGGACAAGGGGTCAGGGCAGAGGCCCCGTGCTCTGCTGTCCCCGCCCTCAGGGGCCGCAGCTCGGATCCTGCCCACCACACCCAGCCCCCGTCAAGGCCACTCGGGGCGGGCAGAACCTCGATGACCGACCTCTGCCACCCGGTGTCCCTACCTCCTCCCTGGCCCTCCAGAACCACACTCACCGAGATCCGTGAAGGGACAGGGTTCCCGCCGGGCGGTGGTGGCCGTCAGCCACGGCCCCGGGGGAACCCAGGGAGCCGGGGCTCTGAGTTTCAGCAGAGGGCAGTGGGGGGAGGAGGTGCTGCGAAGGGGGCTCGGGGCCAGTGACAGCTCCCAGGACTGAGTGGAGGGCCGGACCCGGAGCCCGCCCAGGCCTCCTCTGTCAAAGCAGCTGCGGGCCTTCCTGCTGACGTCCCCTGAACACACAGCAGAGGCCACTCAGGGGTCTGAGCAGGAGCCTGCCGTGGGAGGACCCAGGTCTGCTGGACAGGGGCCAGTCCTCTCCCAGGGGCCGGGTCTCCGCAGCTCTGTGGGAGCTGGCCTTGCTCGGGGGCTCCAGCCAAGCCAGGAGTCACCAGGCGGACACCACCAGCACTGGCCGCAGAAACAGGCCACGTTGCCCTGCTGGGTCCCCTGCCGAGTGAGTCCCAGGAAGAGATGGGGAGGCCCTGGATCCTCCCGGTGAAGAGGAGCGGTCCAGAAACGCAGTCCCCTGTCTTTGTACCACTGTCCACCTGGCCTCCCCGAGCCCCCCTGTGGGCCCAAATGCCAGCTCTCCTTCAAGTCCAGTTCCAGCCTTTATCACCCTCCCAGCTAACAGTGATCTCTGCCTTCCTCCCATCCTCCTCCTCCCATCCTCCTCCTCCTCC